TAGCTATGACGAGTGGATCTTCGAAGAAAAAGACCGATGATAAACCTCCCAAGATCGTAGACCATGTGAGCAGTATGTTCGTAAAGGATGGTGAACCTGTAACCTTGAGTTGTAGAATAATCGGTGCGAAAAAATTCGACGTGATCTGGTTACATAACAATAAAGAAATCAAACCTAGCAAGGACTTCCAGTACAGCAGCGAAGCTAATATTTATAAATTGAACATTGCCGAAATCTTCCCCGAAGACTCTGGTACTTATACCTGCGAGGCATTCAATGATGCAGGAGAAAGTTTCTCATCGTGCACATTAAATGTTCTTGGTAAGTTAACGATCATTCTCCGAATGATTTATTTTATTTGTATATATTATTAATAAAGCAAATGTCTTCTTATTTTGCAATTTTGTCTATAGTTCCAAACGAGGAACCAAAAAGTCCAGTCTTCGCGACATTCCCACAATCTGCAACGGTAAGCGAAGGCGAATCAGTTACATTCGTATGCAAGACTGAAACCGCGCCTTTGAAAGGTAAGCAAAAATATTTCTTTCCATTATAAAAATTTAATGTACAGGACATTGATAATTTTTTTCTTTTTTCCTTTTTTTTTTTTTTTTTTAATAAATAAATATTATTATATCTGTAATGTTACAGTAACGTGGTTGAAAGATGGAAAAGCGCTCCCAGAATCTAGCAGCAGATATTTGTTCAGTTCAGATGGTGACAAATCGTTTGAGTTGCGTATTAAGTCATGTACAGCTAGTGATGTGGGTCAGTATGTTGCTCGTGCGATTGGTAAAAAGGGTGAGACCAATGCTGCTTTCGCCCTGAATGTTACCAGTGCTAATGAATAATGAAATCGCTGATTTCATACATGACAAGTCATGATGCAATAAGGTTTGATGAAAATTTCTATTTCTCCTTTTTATATTATGTTCATATCATTTCTTATATAAAGTAGCATATCGATCATTAATTTCAATATTTATTTCTTTTAATACATCTTTTTTTCAGTTTCTAAAATATTATCAGGAGGGCAATAATAAAAAAAAAAATGTAAAAATGAATTGTATAAATGTGCAACTTGAAAATAATTGCGGTTATAAGCAACATAATGCTCGTGTATAAAAAAAAAAAATTGGAAAATTACTGTATTCATGCTATTCTATATGTAAATTATCATGGAACGCTATATTTACTTTTTGTGTGCTTATCATATCGCAAAACAAAAAAAACAAATGATGTTATATGATGAAAAACGAATCGAAAGCGTTAAAAAATACGGATAGCACGCTATACGCTAATACGAGCTTTGCTGTATACACGAATTAGCATATTTTAAATACACAATCGTACACAAACGGCAGTATAACATACAAAATCTTCGTTATAATCAAATAGCAGGATAACCAGCATCCTCGTATATTGTCGAAACAATAACAACACTTTATCTTGTTAGATGATTATACGATAGAATTTAACACTGCCGAGATGTACGTCTTTATTCCATATAATCCTACGCACTGTCGTGTTATACATGTTTGAAGACTGCTTCCGTTACAAAATTTCAGATAAATAAAAAATGATTCAAATATAAAATTTGATTTGATTTTTTTTATTTTCCTTTTATCATTACTGTACTGTAATTTCATAAAATATTTAACATCATATTCAAGTACAAAAAATTCTTATTAAACAGTATCGTATAAAGTATGAGGATCTATAATGTTAAAACAATTCATCATGGGAGAAATAGAATCTTCAAGACCCATTTTTATCTCTGTGTGCAAAAATTGATTATTGCCTTCAGAAACATTTAATATCATTATACCAGTTAGATCAATCTCTACATATCTTAACTCGCACCAACGATCTTTGTATACGACGAAACTTAATAAAGTATGATCAACGCGTCCTTTTAAACATTCTTCTCTTTTACAAACAGAATTTCTCCTCGTAATATCGATTCTTAGAAGAATCGCCATATCTAAATTATTTTACGAAAATTGTTAAAAGTTTTCATACAAACAGACAAGTATTATGTTTATATTTAAATATATTTTTCTATATTTACCGATCAAAAATAACGTTGAATCATATGTAAGAAGTGCATTTACTCTTTGCAAATTAGGATTATTGTACAAACCCTTAACGATACGCCAATAATTATCTTCAGGATAATAAATATAAAGTGTCGATTTCAAAAAAAATAATCTTCCATTCAGAACACAATGAGGAGGTACCTCTGTGAAACATTCAGGGACATATGCACCTTCTTTCCATTCACCTGAAATCGTTTGTGCATTATAACCAAAATTTTTAAAAATAATTCTTTCAATTCGATTTTTAACCTGTGTGAATATCAAGAATATCAACTGAACGTAACTTCACCCTATGTTTCCCCACACCACCTACTATAATCAATTTGTTGCTTATAAATGCAGCAATCATATGTCTCCTAGGATTTGGCAATTCTGCTTGATAATACCATTTATTAGATAAAAGGCAATAACGTGAAATAATTTCGTTAAATTGTCCACCTTCTAAACCTACTTCTCCACCAATTGTATATACACTGAAACCTAAAGCAATATTTCTGATTATTAGAAATTTTTTTTTTTAATAATCTGTAGAACTTATTAGTAAACACACCTCTACCAATAACTTGCATTCCATTTATCCATTTCTCTGGGTATTGAATACTTTTTAATTGTATGGATTTACATAAAATATTATTATCCCAAATATATAAATTTGCAATTTTGTTATCATTGCTGTCATCTCTTTCACAAACAACTGTACCCTTTATAAATTTGTATTCTCTTTCTTCTTTAATATCTATAGTATCTGATATCTGTAGTTAAAATATCTCAAATTTCATATATCATAAAAATTACATATATATAAATATGAAAAAAAATATTATTTACCGTATGATGTTTCATCCACTTGTTCTTTACAAAATACAAATAACTTTTACTAGATCTCACATTAATATTTTGTATTAATTGACTAATATTATCTGTAGTTAATTCAATAAGCATAGATAAAGGAAGCTCCTTGAAACGGTCTAAACAAACAGACAGACAAATGTCTCGTAATGGTTTTATATTCAACTCTTGTGCTAACAACCATATATCAATTACTTTCTCTGGTAATAACCAACATAAAACTATAATTTCTATAATATCATTTATTAATTCATCAACGATAAATAATACACTCAACTGTAATAAATTCAATAATTCTATAAAATTATTTTGTAAAAACTTTGTCATAGACACTTTTATGGAATGATAATAAATATCTACACGTTGCTCATTATGGATCCATTCGACAAAATTCTAAAAATATAAAAATTATATAATTATCATAATAACATAAAAAAATTTTTTTACTTATCTAATATAAATCACAAAAATAACCTGTAAAGTATATAAAGCAATGTCATAATTAATAACATGTTCCTTGTTATGAGAATCATTAAAATTATGAGAAAAAAGAGATGCAAAATAGCAACTCTTACTTGCAAGTTTTTCTTTGTTCACTTTTAAGCGATTTTCTTTAAGAATCAAAATTAAATATTCCTCCATGACTAATCATTCTTTGTCATTTGTAACTATAACTGTAAATCATTACAAATTCAAAATTGAAATGTAAAAAAAGATAACGGCAAAATATAAAATAAATCATACATACAATGTATTTTTTATCTTATACCTCTAGAATCCTATTATCATTTTAGTATCATTCTTAGTATTACCGATTCGGCTTAGAGCTACAAAACATTGGAATCATTATTATTTAATTATTAGTTAATAGCTGGAACTAAAATTAAATTTCAAAATAAAATACAAATAAGAAATGGAATAAATATTCTGTTACAGAATATTTTATAAAACATATGTGAAATACATTTTACATATAATTATTATTTATATGAGCAATTTATATAAATATTTGAAAAAATATTTAAAATAAAATTATTTTTATGAAGTTATTATTCTAGAAGAAATATATTATAAAGTTAAAAATGTAATATCCATATCTTTTAACCTTATACATTAAAGATTAAAATACATTATAATTGTCATCGCCCAAAAAACAACTAAAAACAAAATAGTGGAAAAAGAATAAAAATAGATTAAATGATTAATTTTTAATTTTTAATCAATTTCTATTCTTTTTTCGCTATTTTTTTCTTTTTATCTATACTTGTTCTTTTATTTTTTTTTCCGTTCTACAGAATCATATATTATATATGAACATAATCATATAACATAATCATATATCATATATGAGTTTATTAATACTTAGTTAACTTCTTATAGTAGTTAAAAAATCTATAAATTCATCTAATATACATATATCTATGAAAATACGTTTAAGAAATTATTTTTAAAATCTGCGCAATCGCAAAGTTCCTTTAAATTAAATTTCTCTTGTATTTCATTTGTAGTATATATATATATATATATATATATATATAATGGAGTTGGAAATAAATCTTTCGGGATATCATAGAATAGGAAGGGCATATTTAATTTAAAATTTAACGTAACATTATTTTAAAATATAACGTAAACATTAATTTAAAATATAACGTAAATAAACAGATATTAAAATTCATTTCAATAGTACTTATTACATATGTATACTATTTTATGAAATATTTTAACATAAAAGAAACTATTTAATTTGTAATATTTTAAATTAATTTATTTATAATAGTTAAATAAAATTAAAAGAATTAGTAAATTATTATAAGATATATAATACGATAAAGAGAGGATGAACTCAATGTTTACTGTATAAATTTATATTTTCTTTTTTTATTATTATTTACTCTATTTTTTAATATGTTGATTATAATTATAATTATAATTTTAACCTCTGGTATTGTAAGATATGTCAAATAATTAATAATATTGATAATTACATATTAAATAAATAGATAAATTTAATTATATAGCTAAAGTATATATTATAAAAATATGGTGATGTTAGATCTATCTTATATTTCGTTTATGACTATAATATTTCTGAAATCGTTGAATGTTGAATCACAGTGCAGACAACCTTTTTGTGTTCAACATAGGACATGAACGACGCTTCGCATCATTGCAATGTAAAGATTACGGAATATTAAATTTAAAATCAATTCAGCTTCTTAAGCGACATGAAATGTCATGTAATTAATATTAATTTATAAATTATGTTAATATTTATGTATTTTATTTTTCACATCTCTGTAATTTAGAGACATAATGGATCAAGAACTTATTGAAAAATTTATAGAAGTGACGGGTAAGTAACATGTTATTTTAACAATATATGAAAAATTATATAAGCACATTTTACATTAATGTTTGCTGTCTGGAAAATTTGCAAATAACATATTTATTATATCTTAATCTATATTTAAATAATATTGATAAATTATTTTATATATTAATTATTAGGGGAAAGTGAGGCAACAGCTCGTCAGTATTTATCATTAGCTGATGGAAATGTAGAAACTGCAATAAGTTTAATGTTTGATGGTAGCCAAGCACCTGAACCATTATGTACACCTGATCCAGAACCAGAAGTGAGACCTCCTATTTTACCTATGCAGGAAGTATTAGTGCCATCTGGTCCAATATGTTCTCTTCCAAGATTGTCCACTAATGTATTTGACAGATTCAGAGATTTTGCTGTAGAGACTCGTGAATATCATTTTATTTTAATATTTTATCAATAGGTAATATATAATATCATTATTGAACATAATCATATTATATAGAACGGCAAGAAGAAGAAATGGCCCGAAAAGTAGCCGGAGTTAAACAAATATCTTATTGTAAATCAAAAAGATTGGAAGATTTATTTCGTCCACCATGTGATATTCTCTTTCTGGGTTCTTTTATGGAAGCCCGTGAACATGCCAAATCATTAAATCGTTGGTTACTTGTAAATATTCAAAATCCTCAAGAATTTTCTTGTCAAATCCTTAATAGAGATGTATGGTCCAATCAACAAATTCAAGAAATTGTAAAGGATCATTTTGTTTTGTGGCAAGTAAGTTATCTTGAAATATTTATATTTAAATTTTATTAAGATTATAGAATATATTCATATATATTATATGAATATCATATATAATATTATGTTTCTTTAAATAGGTTTTGTCAAATACAAGTGATGGAAATCGCTACGTTCATTTATATGATGTATATGAATATCCTTATGTAGCAGTAATAGATCCTAGGACAGGAGAATGTATGAAAACTTATAATCATATTACTGTAGATATTTTAATATCTGCTTTAAATGATATGTTGAGCTCTCATCCATCCCCAGAATGTGTATCAAGTGATTCAGTTCATTCTAAAGAATGGAATAATTGCACTGCCACAACAACAAAAGAATGTTCTTCATCTAATTCATCGGTACATATAGAAAAAAAAAAATTTAAATTTACTAAATTATTAATAAAATGTTTTGATTTTTATTTATTTTAAAAATTATTACATAAATAATTATTTTTATTTATAGGATTGTAGTAATAATACTATTAAGGCATTTAAACATACAATTGACAACTTAAATGACACAGGTAAGTGATATTTATAAAATATTTAAAATGTTTAATATACTTCTTTTATTTATATTACAAGATTATTATACAGATAATATAGATATTAAGAATGATCTAACATCTATTCAAAGTTCAAGTACAAATATATCTCTTGATACATTTGAAAATATAAGTAAAAAAAGGAAAATGAACGAATCAGATGAAGCAAATCAGGAAACAAATTCAAAGGTATATTAAAATATGCATATAATTTAAAAAAAATTAAAAAAAATAAAATTTAAAAAAAAATATATATAATTATTTAAGATTAATATACATTTATTATTATAGGATGAACAATCATATAAATTGAAATCCGATTTTAACGAAATTAAAAGCGGTAAAAAATTATTACGTTTTAATTTAATCATATTAAATTTTTTATAAATGATATTTTTTAGATTAATAAAAAAAATTTTATATTAATAAAAAATATATTTTTTTTATAGACAATGAATCTGTTATAAGACTTTGTTTAAGACTGCCAAATGGTAAGAAAGAAACAGTGTCAATGTCCACCACTGATACAATAGAAGTAATTATAAAATTTTTATTAACAATATATTTAGAAGTCGTAAATTATAATACATTATAATACATTAATTTTTTTTTTCTTTACAGAAATTCATAAATAGAATGGAAGATATGGGTTATGCATCAACCAATCATACTTATTTAGTACCATTTCCGAAAACAAATATTGGAGCGCTTCCACCACAAACATATTTATCAGATACGATTTTATTTCCAGCAAACACAGTATTTATAACAAAGATATAGTGGTCTATTAGGTAAGTACCTTTGTGTTGTTTTGTTTCAAAAAATTAAATGATGTTTAAATAAAAAAAATGTTATGCTCTATTGCAGATGATACATTATAGCGCGAGTATCTCTTTTTATCTTATTACATTAGGAGAAAATATATTATAAGTTCGATAAATATTACGAATCTTAAAGTATATAGAAATGCATTGTGACCATAAATGTTCAATTTATTTGTGTATAATTCCAAAATCATTATATTTGTCAATATTCAATAATTCTTAAAATATTTTACATAAAATGAATGAATTATAAAAATTTGATTTTATATAAATGGAAACGAAATTATATTATTCATTTTTAAAAATAATTACAAAATAAATTTCTATATTTTCATATAATTATAAGTTTTCAGTTTAAGAAAGACTGACATAAATAAGTTTTATTTATATATTTGAATAAAAAAATTATATTGGATAATATTAAATTTTGTATCTTACATATATTGTAAGATTTGTACAAATTACATAAAATTATTTATTTATATTATTTTATATTACATGTATATTTTCAGTACAATATATGTCAGTTATATTCATATGATTTACAAATAGACAACCTATTTTAGTAATTTACATAATTCATATCTATTTGTTGCAGCTATACTTACATATGATTATTATTTTATAATATAGATATTAATGATAAGAAAGAATTTTTGTGTGAGTAAATTCAAAATGTAATTCTGTTCTTTATAACTATGTGAAATTTTTTATATATGTAACTCTCACCTAATTATCCACAAATATTTTTCTGTGACTTTAGCAGCATCCGACTGTTAATGACACATATTCACTGCCAAACGTTGTTACAATTTGTTGTATGAAGCTGATTATTAGTGAAGCGATTGATTACAGGTTTTTTGTGTGCGCAAGGTTATACCACTCGTATGTTCTGCGTAATGAAATAAGAAATAATAATGCAAAATTTAATGTAACAATAAATAGTTAATAGAAATCTTAAAAATATTCATGATATAAGTCTTTTTCTTTATATGTAATTATAATATATAATATTCAAGAATAAATATATTTAATACAGATATATTATGTACATAAGTATATTAAACAAACTAAATAATACATGATTTGAAAATTTTTTTATGTAAAATTATTACATAGATTTAATAATAAAAAATATAAAATCATTATTATAAAATCACAGATTTTATATATTCCTACAATTATTGACATTAATTGGTTTTTAAATTTTAACTTACCAATTTACACATAAAATGTAATAAAATGAGTATATATCAAGGAAATTATATCACATAACAATGCTATCGTAATACAATTATAAAAATAACTGAATTGTAATTAGAAATCATATCTCAACATTATATATTAGTTTTTCTATTCTTAACTAATTCTAAGATTAACAATGGACATCTTGACTTTCATAAATAAGTAAAAATATATATATATATATATATATATATATATCTATAATTTCGAAAGAACATACAAAAGTATACCTTTCATTAACAATTGAATCAATACCAATTTATGTAAAGAATTCTTCTTTCATACCAAAATAATTTAAGATAACTCCCATTGGTGTACGTTTCAATCCCATACCCTCTATTTTGTTAGCAAGTTTGTTCTTCACGTTTCTTAATCTCAAAGATGCATGTATAAAAATCACTAAAAAATTAACATTAAATCTTTACATTAATACAAATTAATTAATTGCATTATTATAAATGAATTCATTATATAATTTCCTTTGTATCATATTATACTTTATGTAAAAAAAAAAAACTTACCACAAAATGACAATAAAATGCCAAATAATACAAAAAGAACTGAATTTATAGTATAAATAACAAAAGAGCCACAAATAATAGTAAGAATTACTCCAACTTGGGGATATGTTCGTTTAAATTTAAGCAATGATTCTTTTTCACTAAATAAATAAATACATTCACCCCATATTGCCATCGCTGCTGTTATACCAACAATCATTTTCACTGGATGCACTGATCTAAATGATTAAAAACATACAATATCATAAAAATTTATAACCTTTATAAAAACAAATTTTAATACGTTATTTTACTTACGCTACAACTAATATAATAGCAATACACATATAAAGATAATTCGTTTGATAATATACAAGATTATTTGCTACTCTATTGCCCCATTTTTCTAAATCTCTAAAATTAGGGAGTTGAAAACGTGAGGATTCCAAAAGAAAATCATATAAACTACGAAGAGGTGGTAATTCCCATCCATCGGCTATCGATATTGTTTTATCCATTATAATAATTGTAATATACACAATTTTAAATTGAATTAAATAGCTTAATTTTTTACAATACACATCAATCGATTTTTACACGACAAGTCTTGATATTTTTGGATGATGACGAAGACGAACGTCATACAAAGTTTATGAAATCAACGTATCGTTGTTCAAAAATAATTAGATTAATCGTAACTTTTACATTCTTTAAAAAAAGAAATAATATTTAATTTTTATCTTTTCTTTTCAGTAAAAAATATATACATTATTCATATAAATTGCAAAATCAATTTAAAAATGCTAATTTCTTAATATATTTACTTTTCTTCTGATACACGATAAACATCGATGAACAATATAAGTCAAAGTTACGTCATTTTTTATTTCGAGAAAGTTGTATAGCGCGTATTTTAAAATTTTTTCTGTTAATCTATGAATAATGAATTTTTATTAATTAATTAAATAATTGTTCAAATTTAATTAATTGAATTAATTATTTATAGAAAACGATTAAAATATAGTATAATTATCATTTTGGATGTAAAATTAAACTTTAACTCTTTCATATTACATATATAATTTTATTGTTGTTCATTTAAAATATATAATTTTTTATATTTTCCTATTGATAACATTTTTTAAATTTTTTAATTTGATTAATTAATTTTTCATGTATTAACAATATATTTATTAATTTTATTATATATTATGTGTAGTAATGTTATTTACTTCATCAAAGTTTTTACTATACAATAAAATAAATCGTTAATATTAAATACGAATTGCAACGATTAAAAAAAAATATCAAATATTATTTTATTTTGATAGCATTATACGCATCGACTCAATCATACACATTAATAGATTCTGATAATATTGATATTATTATTAATTTAATAACAAACTTCTAAACATATCTAATATAAAATTTTTGCTGTATTTCGATTTTTATCCCTAAAATCATTATAAAATGCAATAATATTTTCTTTGAAGAGAATTCGATTGAACGATATACTAAAACTTACATTAACTTTACATGACTTCTTATAGTTACAAAATGGACATATAAATTGTACTTCCATAGATTCAATTACTTTTTATGTTGAATATATAAACTTAAATATAATCTTTTTTTATATTTTATATAGATTATAAAAATATATTTACAAATATTTTGATAGAAGAATTAACATTACTTACAAATTTATAAAAAAAAGACTTATTTTAAATGTCAAATATATAACTTTATGACTTTATATTTTGAATACAAATAATAGTGGAAATTATAAAATATATCATTAATTAATATCAAAGACTAATATAGTTAATATTCAAAAAAACAAAAATTAGTGTCATCTTTTTGAATTTAAAAAAGAACGATTGTAAATTGTTTTAAAGAAATCGTTAAAAATTTGGAAAGACAGGATAATTAAAATCAGAATTTGTCAGAAATGACATTTAAGATGTATATTTCTATCGTAAAAATTGAAAATTATATTAAATCTTTGATACAAAATTAAGAGGGTAAAATAATAAAATTTCAAATACTTCAAGAACACATCAGACAATAAGTAGATGTTAAAATATGATGTCATGATTTATTCTCTCATTTTACTTAAATATTAATAACACGCGATAATTTTTGAACCCTATTAAGTAGCAAATCACCTTGTTTAACCATAGCTTGATATTGCCAATTTTTACTATCTGGTCTATTAGTTTCAACTACACCACCAACGCAATCAACTTTACAATGCAATCTTCCGGCAGCAATAAAACGTGATAATTCTCTGTAGAAAAATAATTAAAATAAAATATATTAAATATATAATAACTAAATATGGAATAATAAAAACGGAAATCATTGCAAAACTTACTGATCAATGTATTCTACTGTAACACCAAATGCTTCAGCCATATACTGAAGCGTTAAAGATCTATAAGATTCTAGAAGTTGTGTATAAGCGAGAATACGCATTTCTCTAACATAATATCGGTAATGCGGAAAAATTAAGTAATCTCTACGTAATAAACCTTCAACATGTGCTGAAAATATATTCAAATATTAGAATAAAATAATATATTGATTTAAAAAATTTCAATATTTAAATAAAAAGGTTATCTTAGTACCTAAATTTTTAAAGAAATCAGCATATTGACAATTATATAAAGAAAACAAATAATCCTTCACATCTGGATTACTATGAAGCACTTCCAAAATTTCTGAACCTTTGATAATCTTATCTCTAAGTTCATTCCTAGGTAAACTTATCATACTTAAATATACGGTGTATCTCACGAACGTATTATAATCCATAAGCTCATAACTAGTGAATGTGCTAATTGTATCCAAAAAGAAATTTGCAGCTTCTTTGAAATCACGAACAGCTATACAATATGTTCCTTGATATACTTTTAAACGATTTCGTCTATCCCAATCACCACCTTCTTCTATTAAACTAAAATAAAAAAGATAATATTTATATAATGTTGTAACTAAGATATATTATTCTATTCAATAGTTTAGAATCAATAATTTTTTCAAATTTATATATATATATGTACCTTTTAGCTTTTTCTATGTTTCTTGTAACATGATCATGATCTAAATAAAATAATCCAATTCTAATGTTATGAAATACAATATCTAATCTATGTCCTAATGATACAGTTTTATCGTAAGTTTTTTTGAATGCCGAAATGGAACCTTCCTTATCACCTATTCTACATAAATGTTCTGATTTTTTAAGATTAGCTTCTCTCACTTCCATTTCACCCAAATTCTTTTCAGCATCTTCAATTGCATCATCTAATTCTTTTAATTGTTCCATATTTTTAGTTTTCATAGAAGTTAAAAGAGTATCATCGACTGGCCAATTCAAATCTTTACAAACTTCTTCATAAAATGGAGCCATATCTAAAAAAAAATGATTATATATTTTAAAACAATATTAAAATATTCTCATTATTTATCATTTTAATTTATATAATTCTAATAATATAACATATATTACATATTTATAAATATATAATTTAAAATTTGAAAATGAAGAATAATAATGAAAAATGTGATTGTCTAATAATGAAAAAATATATTTATTAATTTTTTAATTTAAAAGAAAAGAAAGAAAAAGAAAATTATTGCATTAAAACTGTATGAAAGAAATGATTAACAATAAAAAGAAATAAGAAGATTAAAATAAATATTATGACAATTCCTTTAGTTTCTATTTATATAAAAATATCAATTAAATCTTAAATATCGAATGTTTAATTTGTTATTGAAATTTTATATTATATAAATAAAATGAAATAATTAACTTAAATGTAAAAAGTGCAATCTCACTTTCTGCTTTAATGGCATCTAACAGTTTGTTCTTTAAATATGGATCATCCTTATGTTCTGGCAAACTTAATAAAAATTTTGTTTGGGCCAATTCCAAATTGGGATTTTTCTCTAAACCCTCTTCTTCTAAATTTTCCAACGGCATTATAAATTCTAATTATAATTACGATACTGATAAACACAATTAACCCACACTTTGCGTTTTGCGAAGCATGAACTAAATAATATATAGATAAATCATGAAAATATATATTTCTAGAATTCCTCGATAGGTGGCAGAATTTTTTTTCATATTAAAGATTAATCATAAAAATTCTTTTAACAAATTTATAATAATATTTTTAAATAATACGTGAACGAATATTTTTTAAATATAATTGATAAAGAGATATGAATTAAATAAAAAAATTTGTATATTTTTAATATTTTTCGTAATTTAGGTTTTTTAATATAAGATACACGATTATCTTAAAATAATGAACACAGAACAAATCTTCTTTTAACGAATCAATTTATTTTTTGACACGAACTGCCAATGACTCAGGTAAATTGAGCCCAAAAAGAGAAAAATGTTTTCACAGGATTCGTTATATTTAAAATTTACAAGAAGGATTGCATAATGCGAGTTCATTCATTCACATACCACACAATTTAACGCATACTGGCAATTTCGGCATTTTTTTTTTTTTTTTTTTTCATTAATGACAGTTTTACGCGACACTGATCTTCGATAATATTGTTATAATTATATTTGAACAGTAACAACAGAAATGAATTGCAATATGATCATTGAAAAGACTAAATAGAATTCTAACAAAACGGCAATAGATCATTAAAAATATGCTCTTAATAAAAAGCTACAATATCATAAATTAAATTTCATATGTAAATTCTGTCAAAATAGAGTCGAGACAACACGAGATATCAATTAGAATTAATTTTATATGTAAATGTTGTGTAATTTAACATATGCAAATTTTTGCATGTAAATTAATTTATATGTATGTAATTTATAAATATATATAACATTAAATCATATTTTTGTGCAAAATACACAATTCTTATATTCGTGCATTTTTTTTTTTTTTTAATTGCAAATTATTCATTCTTGTGATTGCAATATCATAATTTAATATTAAGCGACATATCAAATATAAGAATAAAATTAAATTTAAAATTTTTTTTCTTGTGTATTTTTAAATAATTTTGATAAACATGTAAATAGTTTTTTCTGCTATCCTTCTTTCTTGTCTACAAGAATAAATATATCAATGAGGATTAATATCACAAACTGAATTACTAAATGAAACTAAATTATTCATTTGTAATCAATTAATTTGAAAAATTCGATATCGATAATTGAATGTTATATATGACATTTTTTTTTTTCTTTTTTTTTTCTTTTTTTTTTTCTTTTTTTTCCTTAAAGAAAAGACGAATGGCAAAAGAGATACGTATTTTAGAGAAAATCCTTTGTTTTAAGGAAAAACGTATCATTTATTGATAATAAGGAAACGATCGCAAATTCGATCGAAGAATCAGCAATCGAAATGTGCACGGTTGGTAAAAAATAAATCGTTGGATAACCAATGCACTCTTTGAATACAGTTTAGTTTACCGACCGATTTCCAAGGTAGATTAATAATGTAACATTCAACGCACATTTAGAATTACGAATCCAGCTATGCTACACGGTCATGAGATCGTTAAGCGTAAATATACATCGATTTGTTCCTTCGGACGAATATTAGAGAAGCAGATAGAATTTATCACGTATCTTGAACATCACGAACGAACGAACAACAACCAGTAATGATGTTTCAAATTCATAGAAGCGAAAGAATAGCATACATTTAATTAAAATTGAGACAATCGAGCTCATTTTATTCACAGCATATTTGAACACTTTTTCAATTGTAAACACATATGGTACAGTATTATCGTTATTATGTTCGTTCGGACGATCATATATAAAAATATAAGCGACTCGAATCTTTAATGATACTCTTTAATAATTCAATAATTAATTTTTGATTGTTGAAAAAATTTTTAATAAAAAGGCGTGAAAATGTATTATAAGAGAAAATGACAAAAAAAGATCTATGCCGAATTGATTTTGCTTTCTTTCTCATCGATCGAACAGACGATCAAATCTTTCTTTTTCTTCTTTTTTATATTCTTTTAATTTTTGCTTCTTTTTTATCTTTTATGATTTGTTTCTTTTTTTTTTTATTTTTGATTCAGAATTATGCATAAGTTATAATATAAATTTTGCACACGTATAAAAAAAATCCAAATGAAACGTTTTCGACATTGATTTGTTCGTGTGATCTCGATCTAATAGGAAGATGAACAAAATAGGAAGATGAAAGAAATATAGAAATGTAAAACTAAAAGAAAAAAAGAGAAAAAGAATAAAATTAATTAAAAAAAAAAAAAAAAGAAAGAAAAAAACAAACAATATGGTTCTCGATGAAACATTTGGCAGATTGTTGACGAGAATCAATTTGGAAGCAAGAAATAATCGATCTAACAAGTGAAAGAAAGGAAGAGAAGGGCAAAATATGGTAAAACGAAATAAAAATTGCGAATGATGAAAGATGCGTTGCCCTTCTTTTCCGAGTTGTACGAACAGCTATAAATACTCAGCAAGTATATTGTTGGTCGATATAGAACACATCTCGATAATCCGAGCGATCGATACGATGCTGATAATGAGAATTGTGACAGAGAAGTGGTTAAGGTAAAAGCGAGCGAGCGAGCGGTCGATTACTGTTTCGGCCACGAATCGACAGATCGGTCGATCGATCGATCGATCGGTCAGCTGGACATTCACACCGTTAAGTTTAAAAGGTAGAATAATAGAGGTTCCACAAGCGATTAAAAAATATGTCAGAGGCCGGTTTTGGCCCAAGCTCTCTTACTCGCTTACGCTCGAATTTTTTTCCTCTCTTTTCTTTCGATTTTCTTTCTTTTTCTGATTTTATTAATATTTTTATCATCATTATTGTTATTATTATTATTATTATTATTATTATTATTATTATTATTTTGTTATTATTATTATTTATCTTTACTATTAATATTTATTATTACTATTATAATTATTATTATTATTATTGTTATTATTATTATTGTAATTATTATTATTATAATTATTATTATTATTATTGTTATTATTATAATTATTATAATTATTATTATTATTATTATTATTATTATTATTATTATTTCGATACGATCAACAGCGAAACCACTTAAATCTGTATAATATATTTATACTTAATACTTAATTCTTAGCGATCAATTTACAATCGATTGATTCGATTAATCGAAAGGATCGATTAATTCGCAGCGATGGTTCGTTCCGTTCGGCACGGCATACATTCATTTCCGTTTCCCTGTTTCTCTTTCCTTCTTTTTTCTTCTTTTTTTCATTATCGACGAACGATTAACACCGACGACACTTATACTAGAACCGTCCTTTTTGAATCGGAATGAATTCTGAAAAACATCTACCATAGATTAATTGTCGATCGTACGCGCTTTGTGTCCTTGAGGCCGATAGAACAAAAGAAACATTCATTATATAGACATCAGTTATTATATCAACGATTTTCTCATCTATACCCTGTGCATCATTTTAAATGTTTCAACACATCCTATGTGATTACTCGATAAATGTTTCTCGCTTATCGTAGATAGTCAATATATAATATTTATACTTTGTATGTGTATTCTATAAGTATAGGCACGCGACGCGTACACGTGTGTATACTTATACATATGTATGTATTTGTTATATAGGTACGTTCGCGTATACGTACGCGTGCATATATTTATTTCTTTGCATGTAATCATGCTAGATGCGTAATTTTACAGCGTTGATTAGCGACAAAAGAAGATGTCGGTTATAGCATACATCTATATCGACTGTTCGTGATCGTGTATCGATAAACACTGTAATTCTCGATTGCTCGAAATGCAGCAATGAAATATACAATTAAACGAGAAACAACATAACGCGATAACTATAAAAATCACGGTAACGCATGATATTTCACAACGACGTCAATAGTCAACGATTAACCGATACGCATTAACCGATAAAGAAATTGCAACGAGAACGGTTATGGCTATGGCTGTAGCGAGTGCGAGGTACGAAAGCGAGGATGTCTATCGAATCGACTATCGAGATTTTATTCGCGGCCCATCTCTCTTCCATTTCTCTTCGCTTTCTTTTCCATTTTAAATCTACAAACAGATCGATTTTTTCCGGATTTTCCAATCCATCTTTCCATCCATTTTTTCCAATATTCTCTATATATTTCTTCAAATTAACAAGAAAAATTAGGAGATAAATATATGGAAGCGCTTGGTCGATCGATCTTGGATCATTCGTTCCGTATATGTCGATAAAAACGATGCAATCGAAACGGTTATCGTAAAAATCATTTGATTGCATCGAGTCGTTTCCATCCTGTGGCACAATCACGTGTACACGCAACGGAATACGTCTACTGTACATATACGTAGATGTAGGAGCTAAGACGACAAATTTTCAAAAGATGATCGTCGATCGTGAGCGTTCAATGCATACCTGTCTAAGTACTACTATACTGTGCACGTATAGGTTATGATTCGTCGCTTCTTGTCCGTTGGATAGAACATTTTCTTCTAACGCAAGCGAATCAAGCAAATTGTTTTTCTAAATCGTACAACAAAGATCGTACAACAAAGACGGAAGGAAAAAAAAAAATAACGCATTTAGAATTTAGAAGCGTTTCGCAAGATTACAATTAATATTTTAGAATTTAATTTAAAATGTTTTATCCACGATCGACTAATTTTAATCACGATCCATTCCATTTATTAGTTTTCTTTTTCAATTTAAACCGCGTGCAAAATTACTCGGTCGATTGCGATAAACCGCCACGATTCAACGAATCGAATTGACTAGATTCGCATAAAACATATAAAGTTTTCAATTAATCATGTGCCCACGCGTACACGTGTTATTGTTTTGACGTAACGTATCATACACTGTATAACACACGCATATACTTATGTGTATACGATACAGCGGTCGAAAAACGACATCGCATTTGTTTACACCACGAACTGAAAATATTTCCAAATTTTTCGGAATATCATCGAGCACATCATATCCCTCTCATCTTTCGATGTATCGATCGACTTTCGTGATATTTCCTTCCGATCATAGAGCGCGTTATTATCGCTTGACGATTATTATATCGACCAATGTTTCAATCGCAAACACGTATCGTATATATATATATATTCCACTAATTCGGATATATTTTGTCCATTGGATTGTAAAAAATGCTCGAACAAAAGTCGAACGCTACCGCTTATCAAATAGCAATCTCACTTGTGGATACATCGATTACAGCTAATAACGTGATGTAAACGATTCGTCGTGTACAAACTAACCAACTACATACCTTCTCTCGTACAACGAAAGGAACGGGAAAAGGATAAAATAACAATAAGGAGGTACATATACGTGTACGGTCAATTTCTCAAGTTGTAACGAGTCACGTTCGGAAAGAAATGTATACCGATTCGTTGAAACAGCAACAGATCGCACATGCTCGCCATTACAAAGCGAAACATCCGAATAATTGTCAACAATAACGAAAGCGTGTAACAGTAAGGTCGGAAAACGATGAAGAAAAGCGATCAACGTTGAACATTTTCCATTATCGAGGATCGATGCGCGATCACCGTGAACAGAGACGAATAGCATATCGACGAGCACGCCATCTTTCGAATCATTAACGCGTTTCCATACAACAATATCAACTAACTTCACAGCACGTGCTGTTCGTTCCATCGCCTTATCCCCTTCTTCTTTCCCTTTCACACTTTTCAACGCAACTTCGAACCGTGCGCTCGTTGCTACTCGCGGCATATAGGTACTCTTAGGTAACAGTTAATCGAGCCGTGGATGTAAAGAGAAGTGGAGGGAGAAAATCGAGAGGGCGGATTGAAGAAGTGAAAAAAGGAGCGAGATTGGGAGAAAGGATAGAAAGAGAGAGATTAAATGGGCGAAAGAAGGAAGGATTAGGAAGAGAAAACGCGCGCGCAAATCGCAGTATCAAGTCACGCCAGGAGGCGGATTGTTCCGGCGGATCCTAAACTGTGTAAAAATACGTAGAAAAGATAAACGTAGCGCTCGAATCGTTTGCTTGTTGCCCGTCTGTTTGTCCGTCTGTCCGTCTCTCCGTCTGTTGCCTGTTGCCAGTGCATACCTTTGTGTGCCTGATTTTATGGATTGACACGCGCGCGCGAGCAGGTACGCGCAGATACGAACGAAGTGAGAGCGTGAGCGTAAGCGCGTGTCCATGCCTGTTCCATGTTTTACGTGTGTGTGTCTGTGTGTGTGTCTATGCGTGCGTGTCTCTGTGTATATGTGTATGTGTGTGTGAGCGCGTGTGAGCGTGCGCGTTTGTACGTGGAATAGTTTTACATCGATTATCATACACCATCGTAAGCGAGGTCGACCGACGGTCTGTGATGGGAAGGGAGGTAAGACGGTGGCGTCGTGCCTGGCGAAGTACCTGGCGTTGTGCTACCAACGCTCGTGTAACCGCCGGGATAATTGGCGCTGGGCGCGTGAATCCCAGCCGGTGGGGCCGGATAGGCGTCGAAGGAACTAGAGTACGAACCATTGTAGGAATAAGGATTGGCCATATGACCGAGGGATGGATGCATTCCCCCCATACCGCTCATACCGCTCATCCCGTAGGTTCGTTGCATCAAGCTTGACTCAAGGCCACCGAAAAGATACCCGTTCGTCGATCCCATCGGCACGGGATAATGAGGTCCAGGAATTATATTCGGATACGAATTACCGGGATGCCCGTGGCTCATGCTCGGCGTGTAATTGCTAGACGCTAGATTTTCCACCGTGTAAGATTTGCTATGCTGTTGTTGCTGCTGCTGCTGCTGCTGCTGTTGTTGTTGCTGCTGCTGCTGCTGCTGTTGATGCTGTTGCTGCTGCTGCTGCTGCTGTTGTTGCTGTTGTTGCGAGTCTTGATGTTGACGCCCGTTCATGCCGTAAAGGGAACCGTAACCGTCGTTGGGCGAATGATGCAACGAAGTTGGATAAATAGCACCGGCGGGCGCCAAAGGGGGGCTGTAATTGGACATGCCCGCGTTGGGCATGCCGGAGAATCCGGACAGATAAGACTGATGATGGGCCTCCATTTTTTCCGCGAGGGATCCATCGTCTGATCCCATCCCTGGATGGGTGTGTTGGAGGCGTTGGCTACCACCATCGGCTATGCTCGGTATCTGATCGACTAGAGATTCGAGATCGCTTAAACTTTTCGAGGCGACGTCCTGCCCCCCCCCGTTCCTCTTCATGGCCGCGTACTGTTCGTGCGGATGGTGGTGCGGCGACATGGACGCGTGCGTCGGCGTGTGTGGGTGCGTGTGGGGGGGCGTCGGATGGGAGTGATGCGAGTGTTCGTCGGTGGTTTGGCTCAACGGCGTCGGCGTCGTTTGATGGGGATGGGGATTGTGAGGATCGGACGTTTGCTCGTGGTAACCCATGTAACTCGTGTAACTCGGGTGAGAGGGCGTCCCTGGGCTGCCGTGATGCCCCGTGTTCTCGGGATTCCCCGCTGGATTGTACTGGCGATGATCGTTGCTCATATTTTGCTGGGATATACTGGTGGGCGGCTCGAAATCCGGGTGCTCCACGCTCGGGGACGTCAGCGGCGACGGTTCCAAGTTGTTCTCCGAGGATATGGCCGTGTTTATCTCCGAGGATAGATCGGAATGAGTGAACGAGAGCGACATCGACTTTGGACTTTGGCTGTAGTGTTGCAAGTGTACCGGGCTCTGTTTCGCGTTTATACTGTACGGGCTGTCGTTCAAGCTTTGCCCGTAATAACCTGAATCGTTGATCGGCTGGGGATACGGGGCCATATGGGCGAACGTCTTCGGCGGTGAGAAGCAGTTGGGCACCACGCCCCCGTAACCGTCCCCTAGGTGGCCCATCCCAGGGTGCTGATGCTGCTGATGCTGTTGCTGCTGCTCCCTTTCCCTCATCTCCCGCTCCTGTTGCTTCTGCTGTTGATGAATTTTCTTCGGCCGTCCCCGCCGCTTCTTTATCACCTCGCCGTTCGCGTCCAATTTTTCGGGGTCCGGGGGCGGTTGATCCTCCGGATTCTTGATCTTCTTCGGCCTGCCCCTCTTCTTCTTCCCGGGTATCTGGGAATCGTGTTTCATCCCGTTCATCTCGCCGATCCTGCTCTCTCCATCGTTCGTCAACTCCTCGCAGTAAGAGGGCTTCTTATCCTCGATCGCCTCCTGCTCCTTCTTCTTCAACTTCGCGTCGGCGAACACTATGTCCGACTCGTCCAGATGGGAGATGGTGCCGTTTAAGTAATCGCGAAACTTTTTCAGCGCCGCATAATATGGCACCTTGTCCGCCGCTCGCGGAAGTTGCGCGCATCTCGCGCTACTCGATGGCATCACCCACATGTACTGCAATCGAATACATTCGTGGATAATTAGGCGAGACGTTCTCTCTTTCTTTCCTTTTTTTTTTTTTTTTTTTTTTTTACGGAATAAAAATTCGAAATCAATATGCCGTATACATTATTCCCTTACCGTATTTGTACCCTCGACCAGGTTGGGTTGTCTACCGAATCCGAAATCCTTCTTTCCAGAGAATACCTCGTATATAAGTTTACCGTTAAATACAGCGATTTTCGGCTTGTATTTTCGTAATTTTTCCAACAGGATGTGGCTGCCTGTAAAAGAAAGCAGGAACGAGGTTTGAAAAGTTTTATCGTGTATATAGGAACGTGTATACGTAACGAACGCGTGTATGTGTGCTTATGTACGTGTATTAGAAATATCTTTCAATTTCACTGGATTTTGTGTTTTGATTCGTTGAGTCGCGCGAGAAGTGTCGTCATTCGCGCGGCCGAGAGAATTTTAACGGTTTCGGTTGGCAGCACTGATACCGCGTGCCGCCAGTCCTCTCGCGACGACGATCGCGAAAAGTATCGCGAGTAAAAGTATAAGTTGATTCGAGTATAATCTCGCCAGTGATCCTCGTTGATTTTTTTTCTCCCAGCACGTTGACGTGACGAAACGAAACGAATACGATCGTTTTTCATTGGTTAGCGTATAAGTGAGAACAGTTTGGTGTTCGTAACCGTCCGATAGATCGTGAATCGAACCTTGTGGTTCGGGAAATTTTTCATCACTGGCAGGTATCCAAAGGTGGTAAGTAAACCAACGTTTATCGATAAACGTACGTTGTTGCTTGAGTTTTCGTCCATTCGATATAGGTCGATCCCGCCTTTGTACACTTTCGAATCATTGTTTTATTTCATTCTTCGCGTTACTTCTCGAGGTTAAATGTTTGAATACATTCGTGAAACAATAAAATTGTATTCGTATCAAACAACTCGAGCAACGTGGAAAGATTCTTCCTTTACGAAAATGAGAGGAAATTTTTTTAAGGAAATTTGTCCGAGAAAAATGCTCGGAAAATTCTATTCTTACGAAAAATTATTATTCAGCGTTTAACAAGATAATTTGTAACATGTATGGTTATTCTTTCTGGTTGGAATATAAAACAACGTATCGAACAGGTAGAAAATTATTTTAACGAGGCAACGCTTTGCTTTACGAAATTAATCTCTTTCGATTATTTTCGTCAAGTCGCGATACGTACGATAAGCTTCGAAATTATGCTCGATCTATCTCGATTCGAATAACCCAATGAACGTTAAAACGTGTTCGTCTCGGTTTAAAACAGTCTGGTTTTTGTGGCCCATATGTGCACGATCCGTTTAAAATTTTTGCACGCGTAGATATGTATGTATATGCATGTGCGCTCGTGAGTGTGTATGCGCGTGTATCTTACATCGAAATCCTTCTTTGTTCTTCTTTTGAAATTGAATGCAATCTCGAGTTATTAATTAACGACGTATTTTTCGATTTATATTTTCAATTCCTTCGATTTCAAAGAGAAAAAGAATTATCGATCGAAAGAAAATAATATTTTATCATTTTTTATATATATATATATTTTTTTTTTTTTATTTTTTCACATATACGAACAACGACGATATCGTTCTACGTACATATCGCATCGCCCACGTGAGATCGTTTGCCTTTGCGTACGTGTATCATCTCGTATACTGACCTTCTTTGATTTCTTTCCTCGTTAGATCGGCACTGCCTTTGGTGGCGCGAGCCACCATATTCGTGAAACCGATACCGAAGCGTAAGAGCTTGTAGTCATCATCTGCCGTCAATGGTTCGGGTGTCAATCCACTCAAGTGTAAACACTTCCCTGGAAAAGAAGCGGTTCGATCGTGGTGGTCAGAAAAGTCGAATCTCAATCGATCAATTTTGCGGAATTCGCGAGAAGCTCGTCGGCTAACTCTTTCGTCATTAACTTCCAATCGATTTACACAAATTGCAAAAGAGAATTTCTTATGAGTTTGATCAAACATCGTCCGAAAAACGGTGTCTGAAAATGCTCGTGTTTTTCATTACTAGATCGATCGAAAACGATAAAATCGATTCGAGTCGAAATAAGAGAAAACTCGTCTATCTTGGACGATAGATGGCGCATGGTATACAGTGTTAAATTATTCGCTTTTTGCTTCTCGTCATTACACGCCGTTTATTCATCCGTGGAACGAATTTTACGAAATCGTAGAAAACTCGCGAAACACCATTTTCTATCTCTTTATCAATTATCATTAATTAACGTCGCCTTCGAGAAAAAAATTGGTTTTCAATCAAATGCGAAATTCGAGGGAAACCCGTAACAAACAACGATATATATATTCGTCGGTAATAACGACGCAGGCGACGCGGCGACGGTTAATGGAAACACTACCGTTTAACGGATTAAACGGGTCTGGGTCAAGCTTGCCTCGCTCTTTTGTTTTTCTTTCAAAAGTTCAGAGTCATAAGTCACTTTCTTCTTCCGTAAAACGAGGAAGGGAAAATTTGTATTCGATTTCTTCGAATCGGTCGATCGAATCTAATCGCCACGGTTTATCGCGCGGATTGGAATAATTTGGAAAAAGAAAGAAAGAAAGAAAGAAAGGAAAGGAGGAACGGCGAGGCGGGGGACGGGAGTGGTGGGGAGAAGAATAAGGGGAAGGCGGGGAGCGAAGTCTGATGGCGCGAAATTACAGACGTCGGCCAAGTATATCCCGCGAGCGTTTACCCCTAGCAGCGGGAGCGGCAGCAGCAGCGGCAGATAGAGATTTATGACGCGGCCTCGGAAATTCTCTCCCTCTTGTCCTCCCGGTCTCGCCTCCTCTTGCACCACCGACCTACAACCGCACCACACGACCTTGGAGAACTTGGAAACAAAGTTAAACGCTCGTCTGCCGTGGCCATTGCCGTTCCCGAAGCCGTAGCCATACCCGCCGAGTCGTAACTCTCTAGTCATAGCCCGGTATCGCGTATACTCGTGAAACGGGGCGATCTGTTCCTTCGCTCTTCGAAATTCGACGCACGGGGTCAAACTTTTTTTTTTTTTTTCTTTTCTTTTCTTTTTTTCTCGCGGGGAAAAGAAAGTATCGGCTCGATACACGTTATCATCTGTACACGTGGATCCCTAGGAGGGACGACAGTGGCGGCAAGCCTGTTGTTGGTCTGTTCGAGCAGGACTGACGACCGATCGAACAAACTTTATCGAAGCGAAATGCGACCCTTCCTTCCCTCTTGTTCGCGCCGCTAACCTAACCCAACTTGACTTCCCTCGACCTTTCGCTCGTTACCTTTCCTCACCTTACCTCACCTCACCTCGCCTTATCTCCGCTTATCGGTCTTTCAAACTTTTATCATTTTCTTTCTCTCGTTTTTCTTCTTTTTTTTTCCTTTCTTTCTTTTTTTTTTTTTTTTTTTTTTTTTTTATATCGGAAATACTATCGTGGGTGGTTATCTATCGCGTCTCTTAAACTCGAAGTCGAACGTTCGAAACGGGTAGAACGCGTGGAAAAGAATAGGAGAGGAAAAAAGGCATTTGCCATGCGTAATCTTGAAACGAGAGCAAACTCGAGTTTGCCGATTTCCCAGGCGTTCGTAAATTTATCCGGAAACTTTCAAAGTCGAAAAAGTTTCGGTTTTCTCCGACTCGGTTTGACCGACTTAACTCGTTCACCCGAGTTCCGGGAACGGTTCGAGAGAGCAACAGGATCCTCGGCGTTGCGTTCCTCTTTTCTCCTCTCTTTCCATATTTCTCCAACGTGTTACGGGATCGGAGGAAAAAGAGGAAAGGGAATTTGGCGCGCTCGTTCTTCCCTCGTCTCCGATTCGAAAGGAAGTTCCGCGAAAAATCGAACGATTCCATCGTCTCCTTATATACCATCCACACCGAATTCTCGAAATTTCGTTGACCCAGATTTTTCGTTCTTGTCCTCGGAATCTGAATGAACGGCTGATTCGAGTTCGCTGCAGGGGATGCGAGGAGAGTCAGGTGAAAATCGATGCAACCGAGAGAGCGAGCGAGAGAGCGAGAGAGAGCGAGAGAGAGACCTGTGCGTGGGTACCGCGGGAGACCGCGCCTGGAAAATCAATTTTCAGGGTTTTCCAGGACGAAGACCCGTTCACGGAGACCTAGGAAAACCGTCAAGTGTATGCCACGATCCTCCCTTCTCTATCGTTCGGTACCCATCGCTATCCATCCAACTGCCACAATTTGCGAACAAGCACGTATAAAATCGGCGTAGACGCGTTTTAACGACATTCCCTTCCCGTAAGGAAGGGATCCGCTGTCCGTGATCTCCGAGGGGGGAGGCGAAAAGTACCGCGTCCCCCCTCCCTCTTTCCTCTCGAGCAAGGAAAGGATCACGAATCGAAGCGAAATCGGTCGAAGCAAATCGATCGCCCGCCCGATCGCCACGACTGAATTTTTCGCCACGACTCCGTCCGTCCAATAGGGCGGCGAAAGACTCGTCTCCTGTGACCGCGCCTCCTGCACTACCGCGCTCAGCAACGGAAGGAATCCTTTTTTTTTCGGCCGGGGAATTTTGAAAAAGATGGGGCACGAAATTGTAGGGGGGTAGTGTAGTAAACGTGCACGGACTGAAAGCTGCTATCGAGCGGATAGGCGTGCGACAACCCCTTCCCCGTCCCTCCCTCCCCCTCGGCCAGCTCTAGTTCTCCCTTTTTCCTCCCCCTACCTCCTCTCCTCCACCCTCTCCTGCCTCCCCTTTGGACCAGCAGAGCAGCAAGCTGGCAGAAGGGTGGCCGGTGGGTGGAAAAGGGAGGAGGAGGAGGAGGAGGAGGAGGCTACACGCTTTCCCACACTCACCGGCCAACCCTCCTTCGCCCATCTCGTTTCACCCTCCCTCTCTCTCTCTCTCCTCCTCCTCCACCATGTCCATCCCCCCCCCTCTCTCTATCTATCTCCATCTCTCTCTCCTCTCCTAGCTCATTCTCGCTCTCCTCTTCACCCTCACCCTCGAGCACACCGCCCTCATCCTCGCCCTCTTCCCTTCTCGCCCGACACAGCCGCCACTCATTATTGTTCCCACCACCACCACCATCACCACCACCACCACTACCACCACCACCACCACCACCACCACCACCACCACTACCCTAACCTCCTATCCCACTTGCACCAACGTCGACAACCATCAACCTCGCATCTCTCTCAGACTCGCGCATTTAACCGGCTTCCCCAATCTTTTCGCAGGTCACTGCTACTCTCCGCGATACTCTTCCACGCGCTGAATACGTCTTCTTTCCCTTCCTTCCTTCCTTCCTTCCTTTCTTTCCCTTTCTCACGGATATTTTTTTCTTCCTTTCTTTCCTTCTTTTTTCCTCTTCTTCTTCTTCTTCTTCTTCTTCTTTTTCTATCTCGCCACGAGAAATTGCGCCAAGTTCGTCAAATTTTTCCGCAAACTCGACCACCGGATTTCTATCTTCCATCGCGAGAACCAACTTTTATTCAAATCCCGATCGCCGATTTATCACGAACGAAGAAGGGATCGGTGGAAAATCGATAAAGTGGAAAACGCTTGTTCCGTGGATGGATAGAAATTTTCAACGATATATACCATATGATCGATATACCGATCGGGAATCGGTTCGATCGGGTGGCATTCCATTCGGGAAGAAAGAGTTTTCGCGAACGAAAACTCGAATCAAGTATTTCCCAACTAAGTAAGTAAGTAAAGTAAGTAAGTAAGTAAGTAAGTAAGTAAGTAAGTAAGTAAGTAAGTAAGTAAGTAAGTACGTTGGAAGTAACGATCGAAGGATGTAGGATGTAACGTGGAGCAAGAGAGCGGAAGTCGGAACTCTAGTTTTCAAGTTAACGAGCGTCTAGACTTACTTTCTACTTTGCAACACCGGCGATACCGCAAAGACGAAAATCGGTCATCGTTATCGATCGACCAAACTCCGAGTTACGACGATAATTTACTTTACTTTCCAACTTCTCTCTTTCTCTCCTCCGTGAAGGAGGAGATAAGAGGGAGATAAAAAAAAAAAAAAAAAAAAAGAAAGAAATAAAAGGGGAGCGATTTCGGGAGAGATAAGGACAAGTCCCGTGTTACGTCGCGTTACGTCGGGAAAAAGTATGGAACGATTAGACGACGACGAACGATAGAGAGGAAGGCGCGAACAAAGTAGGAGGAGTGGAATATATCCGTGGCGGTGGTAGTAGGCGAAAGCGCAAGGGTGAAGGAACGACAGACGCGGTGGTGGTCGCGTCTCCTTCTCCTTGTGCGAGAGGCGCGACGGCTCGATTGCCACGACCACGAAAAGTTTCCCCGGTCACGTTCAACTTTCGCGCCGTTGGAAAAAGCCCGCCGCTCGAATTGGGTCACCGACCGGCCGACTCTCGTCCTCCCTCCCCCCCTCCCCCCCCGCGATTCTACCCTACCACGGCGACGGCCCTTCTTTCTCGCCCCCATTCCTCCCCCCTCCCCCGGCTAAACTTTCGTCTCTTTCGTATCTCGCCCCGTCTCGTTCGAATTTCCAAACGCGTGCATACACGACTTTTCGCACTTTTTTTCCTTCCCCCCTCTCTTCTTCACAATCGACAAACGGGAAGAAAAATCGCGAGAAAAAGATCTCGCGTTTTCTCTTACACGTGTCGTCGCGCGGTGGACACGAAGGCGTTGACGCACGACTTCCAACTTCACTTTCACTCGTCGTCGCCACCGACCAAATACGAAACTTCAAATTTCGTAACGGGGACGAAAACGGAAGAGAGTAGTCGGAGAGCATTCGACGAGAGCGAAGACTTTTCTCTCTCGGCGGCGCGGTACTCGTCTACCGATCGATCGACACCGACTACTAACTCGTGGGATCGATCGAGCGTGGTCGAGCGTTACACCTCGATCGATCGAACCGCGGTTGCGAACAACTTGCCAGTATAATACTCTCTCTCTCTCTCTCTATCTCTCCCTAGCTGGAGAAACACGCGCGAAAGACGATCGACGACGCGCGAGCGTGGCCGATTATCCCAGCGACGGCGGCAATAGCACGAGCACTTGGTCGTCGTCGTCGTCGTCGTAATCGTGATCGTAGCGCGAAGCGAAAACATTCGCGGCGGCGGCGGCGTAGAAGGATCGCGCGCAACTCGACGCGGTACCGCAGCACACTGCGAGTATCGGGGCGCGCGAGCAGCCTCGATCCGATCACTGGGACCCCGCGTTCGCTTTCCACCGATCGAATCGGCTGAACCGCGCTGAATTTTTCGGGGTTTACTGCCTTTAGGCCCGGTCCGCTTCTCCCTCCCTTCGCGGCTTAAATTGACCCGTCGTTCTCGATCCACCACCCATCCTCCTTTCCCACGCGGCCCACCCACTCCTCTCTCCCTCTCTCTCCATCGCTGGCAAACCACCCCCCCCCTTCCCTCGCACTCCACACTCCACCCTCGCCTCCGCTCCTCTCCGCGCCACCGCTCGCCACAGCTTCCAACCTTTTTACCCCGTACCTACCCTGCTTCCGCCTCCTCCTCCACCTCCTTCTTCTCCCTCCCCGAGTCAACTCCTCTTCCTCTCACCCCGTTTTTATCCTCCTCTCCCTCACGCGCACCACTCATTATAGTTGCTCCCTCCACTACAACCATCCTCCTCCTCCTCCTCCTCCTCCTCCCCTCACCCCTTTCCCGCTCTTCGCAGTCCGCTTCAACCCGCTTCGTATCCCACCTCCTGCACGCCACCACCACCCTCCACCACCCGATCCACTGCTCTACCGCAACCCCGGGAAAACCCTGGAAAATCCAGCAGCGTACACCTAACTTCACCCTCTATACGTATACATATATATACATATACATATATATATATACATATATATATATATGTACATGTACGCACATATATATATATATATATATATACATATATATTTACATATATGTATACCACGTATGCGTATGAACATGAGCGACAGCTATGTACAAGTGGCGTTATACGGCGTCTAGTCGAAATAGTATTCCCTATGTACTTATGCACGCGCGACCACACCACGCGTACACGCTCGTAAAATGCACGCGACGGAGAAGAGCGCGCGCGAGAGATCGTTCGAAGGTCGATCTTGGACGATCCTCCTCCTTATTCTCCTCCCCCTCCTCCTCTCTTTCGATTGCGCCGGGCACGCGTTGTTTTTCGGCCGCGCGAGATCGGTCGTGGGCCGCGCGAATTGTCGACTATCCTCTCCGTCGTGGACGAGTCGTTCGCGTCGTTCCTTCTTTTCCCCTTCCCCCGCTCCCTGCCCCGCTCGTTCGTTGGTTGGTTCGGTTGGTCGGTCGGTCGGTCGGTCGGTCGGTTGGAAACCGCGTTAAAAATAACCGATGATCGTTGTTCGGTCGATCGCGTCGAGCACGCATCGAGCCAAGGAAAAATAGGGGGAACGACCGAGTTTTTCGATGAGCGCGCGCGTTACGCGCGAACCGGCTCGGATAATTTGCGTTCCAAGCGAGCCGCCTCTCTCGTTATACCGTTAATCACCGATTCGCCGATCTTACCGCGTTCTCTCCGATTTCCAGAGCAAAGGGACAACGCGATGATGACGAGAAGAAGAAGAAGAAGAAGAAAAAGAAGAAGAAGAAGATGAAGAAGAAAACGGAGAAGAAGAGAGTGGTTCAACTCACAGAAGTGGTTCCCCGGTCCGGCGTAGTGATGACCCTTGTAAGCGGCGAACAGTCCTGGGTTGATTCCAATCTACGACACAAAAATCGATCCCGTTAATCTCGAATCGATGGATGGATGGATCGTAACGAATATTCGTTCTTCCGTTCGTCGTTGCAACCATACCGCAAACAGGCAAAGAAATCCGCTTAATTTACCTTTATCGTGGTCGATCGATTTATCTCCCCAACGATCCAAAATGATACTTTAGTTTCGATCTCTCCTTCCGAAGAGATGATTACCGCTTATTTCCAATTTCTTTCGGCGCGATATGTACATATATATATATGTACAATATGTATATGTATATGTATATGTATATGTATATGTATAATATATATATGTATAAGATCGTTGTATATGTGTATATATATATATATATATATATAAGATCGTTCGGTGTGGAAACGGCGAGAGCGAAAGCGAGCGAGCAAGTTTCTTCTTCTCCTCGATCCGCGTACGTCCGAGATAACGATCGCGGTGAACGGTGGCGTCGGAGTTTTCCGTTTCGTACGGTCGATTCCTTTCCCGGCGCGGAACACGCGAACACGGATTTCGCATACACCGTTCTTAGCCACGATTATGCAACGCGATAGAGACAGGTGTGGTAGTACCTGTTGCGCAACCACATTATCTTCGCTCTTCGCTCCGTCGGTTGAACAATTAATAACGACAAAGTCCAAGGATACGCGACAGGGCCGCCGTGTGTTGTGTTGGACGTTGCGTCCTCGCATCCGCGACCCGCTTTCGGTCTATCCTCTATCCTCGACCGTCGCGCCACATTTCTCTCTTTTTCTCTCCTCGAGTGTTTGTTTTGTTTTGCTTTTTTTCCCCATCGATCGTTTTTCATCGTGCGTGAGAAAGAGAAAGAAGAAGAAGAAGAAGAAGAAGAAAAAGGAGGAGAAGAGTCGGAAGTAACGGACGCCAAGAATAGGAATATGGGATGGGAAAATTTGGTGGGACGAAAATGGCGCGATATCGTTGGTCGCTTACGGGTGGTCGAGTCCTCTCCCTCTGTACATAAAGTACGTATCGCATTAGCGCGTTAACGCCAATGCGTTAGCCGGTCGGTCGGCGTCGAATGGCGCTTCGGCCGGGATAAACGAGGATAAAATGACACGGGGAGGTTGGAAGGCAGGGTAGGGTGTGGAATTGTCGCCGATTGAAAACAACGCTTGTCGATGAGAGCGGATCGGGTCTGGGTTAGGGGGCCGGTAGAGAGAGGGGCGGCCGCGGCGGTACGAGGGTAGGGATCCAGGGGTAGAGAGCCTCGACGAAGGCCGGCCGACACCGGTGTCCCGCTGCGTTCGATTACAACGACGCCCGTAATAACCGAATTGCCCACGGCCCGTTAAAGCGTTTACACCGTTTGACGGATGATCGACCGCGCGCTCGCTACTGGTAATATATGAATATCAACCAACCTACACACTCTCTCTCTCTCTCTCTCTCTCTCTCTCTTTCTCTCTTCTTCGAAACACACTCGATCGCATCGTAACCTTATCTCGTCGAGTCAAGGTCGTATTGCGGGAGGGGAGAGGGGATTTGATAAACGGAGGGAAAATGGAAAACGCGAGTCGTCGTCGATTGGAAATGGAACGATTTGGATCGACATTGGTGCGCTCGATGAAACGGGCCGCGATAGAAAGGTGGCGAACGCGCTCGTTACCAACGTCGAGCGTGATAACCGAATTGGGTATGGACCATTAAAGCGATTACGACACCTGACGAACCCGCTACAAACGGCTATTTGTCGTCTCGCTACCTTCCATTCGAATTTTCTCGCTAACCAGACGCCCGTTACGGCCCACGGCTAATCCGATTAATCGTTTCTTTCCTTCTCGCGGGGAAAAAGAAGGAAAAGACAAAAAAAAAAAAAAGAGAGAGAGAACGTTCCCTCTCGCGAGCCACTTACTATGATAATGTCCAAATTGTTGGTGAGATGATCCGGAAGTACGCGCTTGCTCACTTCCTCTTCCGGCATACCGTCGAATCTGTCGTGCTTCTTCCTCTCTTTGTACGTCTTTGCTCGTTTCTTCGCCTCGGCTAGCTCCGCTCTGTGTAAAAAAAAAAAAGAAAAGAGCGCTCGATTAACGTCAAGAAACAAAAAAAAAAAAACAAAAAAAAAAAAAAAAAGAAAAACAATCGAGTATAATACAATTTCGCGAGAGAGATATTCGACACAGGAGTGTAGAAAAGCAAAGTTCGCAGTCGAGCGACGACTATAATCGAGTCTAGTCGCATCGATCCACCATCTATCGACCTTACCGCGAATTATTATTTAGAAATGAACTTGTATCCGTTGACCGCGAATACCAGGCCGACGCGCGGTCTGCCAAATGCTACACGATTCCGAGAGAAAAAAAAGAAAGAAAGAAAGAAAGAAAGAAAGAAAGAAAGAAAAAGTGATTCACGATCGATCGTTTCTTTACTTTGGAAAAGTAAAATGTATTTAAGATGTATCGGCTCTCTCTCTCTCTCTCTCTCTCTCTCTCTCTCTCTCTCTCTCTCTCTCTCTCTCTTACTCTTCCGGGGTGAGAATCATCTCGGATTTCCTCTTGCGGCCCCTCTTTTTCGGTTGATGCGCCGTCAACTGGGGATTCACGTTGCCGTTCATCACGCCGAGGTTCATTTGAAGATGTTGCGGTGCGGAGAGCGAGCCGGGCGGCGTTGACGTAGGTGTAGCCAGCACCGCTTGCCCTCCACCTGGACACGTCATGTTTTCGGGATTCCCGACCGGACTGCTCGCCGTCCTTATGCCGCCCATCGACATCTCCTCGTCCACGAACGAGTACGGGTCCACCGGTGTCTCGCATTTGATCGCCACCTGTCGTCAACCAATCGTTCGAGAAAATTCGCTTCTTTTCAAAAAAAAAAAAAAACTTTTTTCTTTCGTTCGATCGAACTCGAACCCTTTACTTACTATTCGTATTCTCTCGTCGGTGATCGATTCTCGAAGAATCGTCTTCTCGAACTCTCGTAGATCTCGCGACGAGATAACCGGCCGATAGCGACACCATTATTTCCGGTTGTTGCTCGCAACAACAATCCGGACGCGCGTGTATGTACGCGAGTAGCAAAATATAGAGCGCGGCACAAAAGGAAGAGATACACTTTATCGGTGTCTGGTGGTCGTCGCGACCGATTATCTTTCGGCTCGATAGCCTCGATCTTGGGTTATCTTGGTTACGATAGCGAACAGTTCGCCTGTACGTATACGACTCGTGTTCCAAGTTAGAAGAGAGAAACGAACGGCGATTTCGATTCGAATACTCGCTCGCTCGTATAAACGTACCTTGCATCGTTAACAGAGGGAGAAAAGGAAATCGAAGGAAATCGAAGGTGAGAAATAGGTGTTTTTGGGGGGGGGGAGGCATGCATCGTCTCTCGTAAGAGACGAAGAAATTCATCTTCGGTCCGCGAATTTTTCCTTCGGTCCGCGAATTTCTCCTTCGGTCCGCGAATTTCTCCTTCGGTCCGCGAATTTCTCCTTCGGTCCGCGAATTTCTCCTTCGGTCCGCGAATTTCTCCTTCGGTCTACCAAATTTTCATCGATCTCGCGATCGATCCCCGTTATTCTTAAATCAATTTCGATCGAAGGCGCGTGAAAGCGCGCGTCGAGTCGGGGGGGAAAGGGAGAGAGAAAATAGAAAAAACTCACCTGTCCGAGGGTGGAAGCGGTGGAGGCAGGTTGCTGGGGTTGATGCGCTGTCGCCGATATCGGCGTGAGGGGTGTGTGCGGCGTGTGTGGTGTGTGCGGTGTGTGCGGTGTCAGCGGCGTGTGGTACTGCTGACTGCTGTCACCACCGGTGCTCCTCATCTCGAGGTCCGGACTTGTCTCGTAACCGTCATCCCTCGCTTCCTGCTTTACCATCACTCCTGTGCACACGGAAAAAGACATCGTACCCGACGCTATGTCGCTTCGATCTATTCTCGCCTCGATAACTCGAACCGATCGCCCAAACATCCCCGAAAAGCTTCCCTTTTCGCGTCCCCCCCCCCTTCCTCCTCCTCCTCTTCGTTTTTCCGCTACATTTCGATATTTTTAATATCGATCTCCAATCGCGCTTCCAAGAGCGACGCGTTATTATTTTTCCATGGGCTTTCGACTCGCTTCTTACTCCTTACTCGCGGTAATATTTTTACGCGGTGAGTCAACGTTTTTACGTAAATGCCGACCTGTAGTTAGTAGTATCTCTTCTCCAGTTTGAATAAAACCGCACGCTTTTCTCCCCTCCCTACTCCCCTTTCTTCCGTCCGAAGAAGGCCACGTATCTCCTTGTCGCGAGTAAAGAAGAAGAAGAAGAAGAAGAAGAAGAAGAAAAAAGAGAAAAAAAAGAAACGTCTCGTCGATTTTCTTTTTAACTCCGGATAACGGATAAACTCGGTTACTCTATTAATCCATCGAATCCGAGGATCTCGTCGAAACGGCGAACGCGTTCGAGCGATGCTCAACGGCGCGTGCGATTGTTCAATGAGTCCGGAAAAAAAATATTTGCCACCCCCAGTGATATCCTCGGTAATCGACGCTTTCCACATTTTTTCCCTCTTTTTTTTTTTTTTTTTTTTTTTTTTTTTTTTTTTTTTTTTTTCCTCCTTTTTTTTCTTTTTTTCTTTTTTTTTTTTACGCGTTTCCAATCATGCGTTCGCACTCTCGCTATCGTTCATGTTCACAATCGCGCTCTCGCGGGTTAAGTTATCGTTACAGCTTCGTTCGATATATCCGTTTCTTCTACTCCCGTTTCTTACTTCTTAGAAAATAACGCGGAAAGCTTTTCACATCGTTCTCGAACGATATATTCTTCGAATAATAATTTTCGGTGGGGAAAACGCGAAATATTCTCGTTCGGATCGAATCTGAAAATGATGGTAGGCGAGTAAGCGTGCGCGCGCGCGCGCGTGCGGGTTTTTGCGGGATGCCAAACGCACGAATCACTTACGTCCGGTCGGTGTGCGTACACTCGCATTTGAGAGGTACAATATATAAAATTAAAACGATATTTGATTCGTTATACCTTTGTCCGCGTAATCGCGCGATATTAAATTGTCACGAGGCTGGTAATTTTTTTTTTATTTTTTCTCTTTCTCTCTCTCTCTCTCTCTCTCGCTCTCTCTCTCTCTCTCTCTCTCTCTCTCCTCCTCTCCTCCCATCGTTGCGAAACTTTTCTCTGCGAAATATCGTCGGAGTCGTTGTTGCTTTTATACATCGTCACCGTTTGATAGTTGTTGGAAAATTGTTCGCGTGGTACGCGTATTCGATGCGCGGCCAATCTTTAAAAGAGAATTCTCCCGATAAATTTGATACAACGCTAATTTAATATGTAGAACGTTTTCCCCAATTTTTCCCTGCCTCGATTAATCAGCGTTTCTCTCCCTTTATTGCGAAATACGCGTTCCATATCCAAAAAAGGAGAAAAAAAAAAAAAAAAAAAAAAAAAAAAAAAAAAGTAATGTACAATTTCATCGATCTCGGCGATTCTTCTCTTCTTCTATCTATATATCTATCTATCTATTTATCGTTCGATACTTATTCCAATCCTCACCTTGAGAACCAGCGCAATTCATCGGTGTCCCATTTGGTGGCCCTCCGTTTTGCACAGGCGACGGATACGATCTGCAAAGAAAGATTACAAAATTACGTCAACCAGCGTATATCGCTATCTCGGCTGATACGGTTCATAGTTCGCCAACAGCCGCCAAGTCGCGATCGAAAGTCGAATATACCTATACACCGTTCCCTTCTTTTCTTTCTTTTTTTTTTTTTTTTTTTTTGAAAAACGGAAAAAGAAAACGGCAGAAGGAAATATGTCTTTTCAACGTATCGACCAGCAACAGGTAATTTTAACTCGTTTCGAGATAATATTCTTCCCCTTAATCTCTTTCTTTCTCGCTCTTTCGAAAGAGAGCTCTCCGAAAAATATTTCGAGCGAAGAAATAACGAAGGAATCGCGCGCAAAAAAAACTCGAGACAAAAAAGTCTAAACTGTACCCTATTTAAACTATCCTATTTCGTGCAAGCGAGCCAACGGTCGGTTACGATTCGTTCTCTTCGTCGCCAGACGTCGTCCTTCCCCTCCTCCCCTCGTCCTTGTTCGTCCATCTTTCTCGAGCAGGTAATCGTTGGATCTTGGGAAGCTCGCGTGACACGCACAAACGAGCGTCGGTAACGCGCTTCGCCGCATCCAAATTAGTCGCATCGTTGGATTGCCGCGAGAGCGGGTCGCACAGTTGCGGACAATTCGAATCGTTCCTCGCGTTGCTGGTTGTGGAGATCGGTGGTGGGCAAAAGAACGAGGCAAAAGTGTGTAACCGTGCTCGAATTTGGAACGATCGGTTCGGTTTACCAGCCAACGGTCTAAAAGCTGTGTCACTCTACACCACGGGGAAAGTCGATGGACGTGGACGGGAGAGGGGGAGGGAGAGAAAGAGATGGGAAGAGAGAGGGAAGAGCTGCGTGGTACGTAATGGGTCTCCGCGCTACAAATATTACGCTCGAGACTAAATACAAACAATCAGGTTTGTTCGGTTTTGTACGGAGCAACGTTGTACGTCGCAGCCGATGCTTTGTTGCCCGTTTCCGTTAAAATTGAAAATTACAGGTATACGGTGCGATCGTGGAATCGATATTCCTTGCATCGTACTCTTTTCCCACGGTATCGGTCGATTCGTAAGCGCGTTCGTAAGAAAGGGTTACCGGTAAGGGGGAGAGGGGGGAGTTATATTATATAGATATCACTCGATAATTTCCATCTAAATACCGTAATCGCATAGCGCGATACGATGTTTCCGCTCGTGCGTAACTTCGATCCCGAGAACTTGAAAATTTCCTTCTTCCTCCTCCCTCCCTCCCTCCTTCTCCTTTGAATTATGGATCGCGCGATTGTCGCGCAGGGGGTTGACTCTAATAATAGCGGACCACGCGTCCCAGGTAAGACGTAATTTTCGCCGACGGTAAAATCGTTTCTTCGCGCGCGAGAAGATTCTTCGCGGATCCATCGGTCGGGAAGGTCACGTGGTAGGGAAACGCGAGCGTTTACTTTTCCGTCGAGAGACGTTTTCCGGACGAGAGAAACGTGGGGAACGGCCGCTGTTCGAGACAGCGCGATGCTCTGGACAAGAAACAGTTACGTAAAGAGAGAGATAGGATACTACGCGTCTCCTTTCGTCTCGTCTCGTTTCGTCTCGTTTCGTCTCGTCTCGTTTCGTCTCGTTTCGTTTCGCGTTTACGATCTAAGGAAAGAGAGGGAGGAGGGAGAGAGGGGGAAAGGAGAAGACGTTACGTTTGAAAATTAGTCAAAGACGGAGAAACGTACGATTTTCGACGCGTACGATCGAAACACGGGAGAAAGGAAGGATGTGGTTTACTTTCTCTTTTCGCGAAGCGTAGCGTCTACGAAAGCGGATGCCTCGCATTTTCGAGGAATCGTGACGAAGCGAGCGATGCGATCGCCTCGACTCTCCTTCTATCGTTTCATCGATATTCCGTGGTCGGTGTTAGCAAACTCGGTTGGTAAAATCGGGAGTGGTAAACGCCGATACGGAAAATCGAGTATCGCGTTACTTTCGCGGATATCCGTGTAAATTCATTTTCGCGGAGAGACGATACTGTTGGGTGAAAAGACGAGGGAAGGAAAAAGGAAGCCGCGATAAAAGTGGCTTCGTAGATAGGTAGGTAGGTAGGTAGGTAGGTAGGTAGGTAGGTAGGTAGGTAGGTAGGTAGGTAGGTAGGTAGGTAGATAGGTGGGTGGATGGGTGGATGGATAGGTAGGAAGACCATGGGATGCACTCGTTCGTAGTGCTATCGACGCGACGCGTCGAGTATTCACGGTGCAACGCGCACTGGAAAATGATCGTTCCGATGCATTTAAGGAAACCGTAGTCCACCGCGTCTTTCTCCTTTTTTTTTCCGCAACCGTTGGCCAAAGTGAAAAAGCTGAAAACTACTTTCCGAGCCTTACGTCGCTCCGCAGCTGCGTTCTTCGTTATCGCGAGAAGAGAAGACGAGAACGAGCCGAAACGAATAGGCGAAGAAAAAAAAATCCGCTCGTACATCGTAATCATTGTCCGCGTCGTCGTCGTCACGCCGTACTTCGTACGAACTAAGTAATCGCGACGTTCGAGTCGAGATCGACGAACGCGAAAACGCGCACGAGCGTGCATCGGTCGAAATATATATATATATATATATATACCGAAGGAGATAGCCGGCGTGAAATTTCGTTGAAAAAATGAAGGACAAAGGGATCAAAGCGTAGGCATTCGCGAAGGAATATTTGGCCGCGTCGAAGAATCGAGGAATACTATTACGTTTCGTAGTCGGCCTTTTTTTTCTTCGCACGACGACCGTTGCTCGTTTTTGCACGGTAATTCGAAAATACTGGGAATAATTTTCAGCAGGAGCTATACCTGCTGGTGGTCTATGTACTTTTTACGTAGCGCTCGGACCTATGTATCGCGGGCCCCGATGTACACACGCTATATATACATATATATATATATATATACATTATATATATACGTATATGTATATATAGGTGCGCGTGTACATGCCACCAAGGTAAATATACAAGGTATATAAGGGTAGCGTGTAGGAGATGGTTGGTACATAGAAGTACTTGCTGGAAACGACTAGGGCAGTGAACGGGAGGTGAGACGAGGGAGGAAGGCAAGGGAATGGAGAGATTCTATCCGTCTCTCTTCCTCCCTCCTCCTCGCTCGCTCACGCTTCTCTTCCTCTCTCCTCGCCCTCACCGCATCTCTCTCGCTCTCTCGCTCTTTCTCTCTCGCTCTTTCGTCTCCATCTCTCTTCGCTTTACTCCCTCCTCTTTCGTAGGGAAAGCTTCGAACCGTTGCTCGAGAACGTTCTTTCGAACGTGGAAAGAAAACTATATTTGCTCGTTTTTTCGATACCGAATGGTGTGGAGTTTCGACAAAAAAAGAATAATTATCGAATATAAGAAAAATTCTCGAGTTCTTGATTCGGATAATCGATCTATTCGGACAATTCTCTTCGAAATTCTTTTCGCGGCTCGAATTACGCATGTTACCTTTCCTAAATCGAAACTTCCAAGTTAATGGTTTCGACGCTGGAATACTGCTTACTTTTATTCTGCGATTACGATTGAACGCGATCGAGACATAGCCGCTTCTTATCTCGACACTTTTCGTATGGCGTATTCTACATATATGTTTTAAAAGGTAGAGGAGCAAAAGAATACGTAGAAGGCGTTGTTGAGGAAAGTTGCATCGTTCTCTCCGGTTTGCCCGGATTCATCGATGAAACGATCGAACGCGAAAGGAAGATTCGGAAGGGAGGGAGAGAGAGAGAGTGAGAAAGAGAGAGAGAAAAATCGAGAAAAGGAAAAGAGGGAAAGAGGCGAGGTCTCGCGCGGGGTTCGTAGCTACCCCTAAGCCGGGCTGTGGCTGGTGCTGGTGCTGGTGCTGCTGCTGCTGCTGCTGCTCGTTGCTAGGGGAAACCTCCAGAAAACTCTACACACACACACTGGCCGTATGCCCGCTGACACGTATACGCATACCCATACAAATTTTCGCGCATACACCGGCAGAGACACCTATACACTACGCACAGACACGGTCGCCAGCTCGCACACGCTTGCCGCTAAAGGGGGCAACGAGAGGAGCTCACGCACGTACGCTCACGCACACCTTCGCGCGTCCTGGAAAATGTCGATAACGAAAAACCACTGCTCTTTCGCTCTCTCCTCTTGCCCTTCTCTCTTTCTCACCATCTTTCTCGTCTGCCTGTTCGTCCACTCGCTCGCTCGCTCGCTCGCTCGCTCATTCGTTCGTTCGTTCGTTCGTTCGTTCGTTCGTTCGCTTGCTCGCTCGCTCGCTCGCTCGATCGTTCGTACACGCTCCATCGTCCTCGCACGTATCATCGCGCCAATATTCTTTTCCAGTATTTTTTCAATTTCTCGAATTTTTCGTTCGCGCGCAATGAAATCAGTTTCCAAGAAAAATTCTCTCTCTTTCCACGAGATCGCTATCTTCGCCAGATTCTTCTCTCGAACGTACGTCGAGAAACGTTTCACGCCTGATTTCGTCTCGCGACACCGAAGATCGGTGATTTCGGGCCACGCGTCGTCCTTCGTCGCGTTATGGAAAGAGAGAAACGGGCAAAAGGGGGAAAGAATCGGTGACGCAAGCTTACGTGGCGACCCACGTAACGGCCCTCGTAAAAAAAGAAGAGAGATAGAGAGAGAGAGAAAGAGAGAGAAAGAAGCATCCTGCGTTCGCGATAAAAATTTACGAGGCGGAGGATGAGAATCCGAAAAGCCGGGCACAGGCTCGCCGACATTTCCAAACTCGGAGAAACGAGGTCCTGTGGCGCCACCGTCTTCCTACGGTCCGCACCGAACCAACGATTTTTTACTCCGTACCATGAATATTTATCTCGCGTATGGAACGGTTGGGCCGTGTCGAACTCGAATCGGTTGGCAACCGGAGATGGAAAGAGCGCGCGAACCGCGTACGAAAGCCGAATTCGGGTTTGCAACGGCACGAAGGAAAAGACGAAGGAAAGGAGGATCGACGATGGTCGAAGGTCGAACGACCTTCGCCAACACGGAGAGGGGAGAGGATTCCCCCGAGTGG